GAGTTTGTTTGGTTTTTTTGAGTTGGAGTCTCTCTCTGTCACCCAGAATGGAGTGCAGTGGCCGCTTCCAGCCACCGCAGCCTCAACCTGCAGGGCTCCGGAGATCCTTCCACCTCAGCCTTCTAAGTAGCTGGAACTACAGGCATGCGCTACCATATCCAGCTAATATTTTTGATTTATTGTAGGATGAAGTTGCTCAGGCAGGCAATCAACTTACCTCGGCCTCCCAAAGTGCTGGGATTATAGGTGTGAGCCACCACCCTTGGCCTGAGATCTTTTTTTTTTTTTTTTTTTCAAAGAAACAGAGTCTTGCTTTGTTGCCCAAGCTGGAGTGCTGTGGCTATTCATAGGCATGATCATGATGTGCTGCAACCTCAAACTTCTGGCCTCAAGTGACTCTTCCCTCAGCCTTCTGAGGACCTGGTAGGTTTTTTTGTTTTGTTTTGTTTTTTTGGAGCTGGAGTCTCACTCTGTCACCCAGGCTGGAATGCAGTGGCACACTCATGGCCACCGCAGCCTCGACCTATTGGGCTCAGGCAATTCTGCTTCAACCTCCCAGGTAGCTGGAACTACAGGCGCACATTACCACACCCAGCTTATTTTTTGATTTATTGTAGAGATAAAGTCTCACCAAGTTGCCCAGTCTGGTCTCGAATCCCCAGCCTCAGGCATTCCTCTCACCTCGACCTCCTAAAGTGCTGGGATTACAGTCTGAGCCACCTCACCCAGCCTGGTAGGTTTTTTTAACCTAAGTGTAAATTTACCTCTTAGCACTGTTTTCAGTATATCCTGTAAGTTTTTTGGCAAGTTGTGTTTTCTTTTTCATTTGTCTCAAGATAGTTTCTGATTACTCTTATGATTTTTTTCTTTACTCACTTGTTGGTTGGGAGTGTATGTTTATTTCCATTGGCTCATTTATTCTAAATTCCCAGGATTTAGAGTCTCCTTCCCAAGGATAAAGGCTCATTAAAGTTTTTTATACAATAGTCATATCATTGTTGGAGGAGACTATAAAAGGGCATGAATATCAGGAGGCAGCAATCACTGAGGTCTGTTTTGGAGGCTGACTAGCACATAAAATCATTTACAAACTGGCTAGCCTAAGTGCTACAGGAAAATTCATGTTCTCCTTTTCCATGCTTTCAGTAAGTCAGAGTTCCTAGTACAAAGTTACTTTGTATAATCCACACCACTAAGTAAATGACTTCAAAGACCCAAAAGTGCCTGGTAAGGTACCAACTTTACAGGGAATTTATAAGTTTTTGCATCAAATGTATAGTTCTATTTCTAAAACCTAGAAACTGTTTAAATGTTTAGTTTAGCTGGGCACTGTGGCTCACACCTGTAATCCCAGCATTTTGGGAGGCTGAGGCAAGAGGATTACCTGAGCCCAGGGGCTCAAGAGCAGCCTGGGCAATTTGACAATACCTTATTCCTACAATAAATCAAAAAATGAACTGGGTGTGGTGGCGCATGCCTTAGTTCCTGCTCCTTGGAAGACTGAGGCAGAATTACCTGAGCCTAATAGGTTTGGGTTGCAGTGGCCATGAACATGCCACTGCACTCCAGCCTTGGTGACAGAGTGAGACTGACTCAGAAGAAAAAAAATGTTAGGCGGGCTCAGTGGCTCAGCCTATAATCCTAGCACTTCAGGAGACCAAGGTGAGTGGATTGCCTGAACCCAGTGGTTTGAGACCAGCCTGGGCAACTTGGTGAAACCTTGTCTCTAGAATACATCAAAAATTAGTCAGGTGTGGTAGCGTGCGCCTCTAGTTCGCTACTTGGAAGGCTGAGGCAGAAAGATCGCCAGAGCCCAGCAGATCGATGCTGGAATGGCCATGAGCATGCCACACTGCACTCCAGCCTGGGACACGGAGTGAGACTCCAACTCAAAAGAAAAGAAAAAGAAAAAAATGTTTAGCTCATGTTGGCTAAATGTATTTAAGAGCCCTGCTTCTCATTCATTTATTCATTCATTGAGTTAATTTTTTCTTTTTCTTTTTTTTTTTTGAGTTGGAGTCTCACTCTGTCACCCAGACTGGAGTGCAGTGGCCGCTCCTGGTCACCGCAGCCTCGACATGCTGGGCTTCGGCGATCCTTCTGTCTCAGCCTTCCAAGTAGCTGGAACTACAGGTGTGTGCTACCACACCCGGCTCATTTTGATTTATTGTAGAGATGAGGTTTCGCCAAGTTGCCCAGGCGGGTCTCAAACCCGCGGGCTCAGGCAATCCACTCACCTCAGCCTCCCAAAGGCGCGGGATTACAGGCTGAGCCACCGAGGCCAGCTTCAGTTAATTTTCAACAAGTGCTTACCATGGTCAGATGCTTTTCCAGGTGCTTATGATTCATTATTGAACAAAACAGGCTCCTTCCCTGTGGATCTTACATTCTCAACAAAATTGAGAAATGTAATAAGTACTTTATATAGTAGGTTATATAGTGTCATGTGTTGTGGATAAAAGGAAAAATAGAGCAGGGTAAAGGGTAATGGTGGGAAAGTATCTGTGTGTAGGATGGGGGGAGATATAATCTTGTATATAATCTTCTTTATATACTGAGGAAATGGCATTAGAGCAATAGACTTGTAAGAGGGAGTTAGCAATGTAGATACTCTGAGTCTTCTCAATATAGAAACTGCCAGTGTCCGTCTGGAATGTTAGGGTTTGGGTTAGAATTAGCATACCTGACATTTCAGAAAGAGCAAGGAGTCCATTGTGGATGGAGTCCATGAAGTGGGGGAGATGGAGGTATGATCAAAAGAAATAAGTGGGAAGATGCACATTTTATGAGAAATTGAAAGCCTTAAATTTTGGCTTTTATACGAAGCTATTCATTCACCCATTCTCAATGGGATTTTGCAGTTAATGATAAACATATATACCTACTTGCATGTGTTAAAAATGTGCAAAGCTGACTAGTCATGTCTGAGATGTGAAATTGGGTATTATTTTATTGTATTTTATTTTTTTTGAGTTGGAGTCTTACTCCGTCACCCAGGCTGGAGTGCAGTGGCACACTCAGGGCCACTGTAGCCTCAACCTGCTGGGCTCAGGTGATCCTTCTGCCTCAGCCTTCCAAGTAGCTAGAACTACAGGCACATGCAATGACACCTGGCTAATTTTTTGATTTATTGTAGATAATGAGGTCTTGCCAGGTTGCCCAGTCTGGCATTGAACCCCTGGACTAAGGCAGTCCTCTCATCTCTGCCTCCCAAAGATTATAGGCGTGAGCTACCACACTTGGCTGTTGGCCACTTTTGTAAAATAAATTTTTATGTGTTTGATATGCATCTGTGATATATTTGTTTATTATTGTAAAGCATACATAACAAAATGTACCATTTTAATCTTTTTTTTGTTTTTGAGTTGCAGTCTAACCCCGTAGCCCAGGCTAGAATGCAGTGTGATATGCTCACAGCCACCCCAGCATCGACCCGCTGGGCTTAGGTGATCCGCCTCAGCCTTCCAAGTAGCCAGAACTATAGGCACGCACTACCACGCCCGGCTAATTTTTTGATTTATTGTAGAGATGAGGTCTCGGCAAGTTGCCCAGGCTAGTCTCGAACCCGTGGTCTCAGGCAATCCTCTTCCTCACCCTCCCAAAGTGCTGGGATTACAGACTTGAGCCACCGTACCCAGCCCTTTTTAGTTGTTTTTAATGTATAGCTTTTAAGCATGAAGTATATTACACATTGTCTTGGAACTGTTATTATTACCTATTTCCAGTACTTTTTCATCATCCCAAATAGAAATCCAGTACTCTATTAATCAGTAACACTCCATCTTCTCTCACATTGCTCCCAGTAACCTCAAGTCTACTTTCTGTCTTTGAATTTGCATTTTCTAGGTATCTCATATCAGTGGAATTATCCAATATTTAACCTTTTTGGTCTCACTTAATTTTGCAAATTTAGCAGTTTCACATTTTGCAGCAGTGAACTTGGTGTATTTAGTTATTTTTACATGCTTCATTTGGTAATAATATTTTACTTATGGTTATATTTTATAAAATCTTTTTTGTTCATTGTTAGTTGAAGGTAATTCAAAATAAGATGATACATTTGTTTTTGAGTATTATATATTTAGGCATCAAATTTGGAATACAATGCTACTTCTCTTTATTTATTTTAACAGAGGTAGGGTCTCACTGTGTTGCCCAGTCTGGCCTCAAACTCCTGGCCTCAAGTAGTCCTCCTGTTTCATCCTCCCAAAGTGACAGGATTATAGACATGCACCACTGAACCCAGTCAAGATTACAGTGCTACTTTTTTGTTTTGTTTTATTTTTGAGTTAGAGTCTCACTCTGTCGCCCAAACTGGAGTGTAGTGGCCACTCCCGGCCACCGCAGCCTCGACCTGCTGGGCTCCGGCAATCCTTCCGCCTCAGCCTTCCAAGTAGCTGGAACTACAGGCGTGCGCTACCATGCCCGGCTAATTTTACAGTGCTAATTTTAAACAATTTTTTGTTTATATAAAATATAAATTTTTATATAAATCTGGCTATTTTGTGTTAGGCTATATTTTTCTGGCTACTGCTGCTTTTCTGATAACAGTACTGAATTTGATGTTATGGTTGGATGTTTCCTTTTCTTTTCTTTTCTTTTTTTTTGAGTTGGAATATCACTGTCACCCAGGCTGGAGTGCAGTGACACGCTCACAACCTCGACCTGCTGGACTCAGGAGATCTTTTGCCTCAGCCTTCAAAGTAGCTGGAACTACAGACACATGCCACTCTACCTGGCTAATTTTTTGATTTATTGTAGAGATGAGGTCTTGCCAAGTTTCCCAGGCTAGTCTTGAAGCCCTGGGCTCAGGCATTCCTCTTGCCCTGGCCTCCCAAAATGCTGAGATTACAGATGTAATCCACATGCCTGGTTGGACATTTTCTTTTAGACAATGTATGATCCAAAACATTCCTTTCTGTGTGCTTTAAATATTGTTTTTAAAAGTTAGCTTATGCTGAAATACCTGTTCTAATCTTCCTGTTTTTAATTTTCTCTAGGTGTTTCTATGTTGTCTCCTAGAGTGGGTAGTCCTGCTTATTTTATACAGCCTCTTTTCCTGTTTTTGAAATGCAGATATCTCTTCACTACACATTACCTCCTTGATTTGGAATGCTAAAGGCCACTTTTTGTTCCACCTCTCCAATTCAACACAGAGAAGAAGCCCCTGGGATTGTGGTTATCCTTCCAACTTCTCCAAGAAGAAAACAGCAGCTGACATGGGTCTTCTGCTGCTATTTGCTGAATTATAAAGACATTTTGCAAGCTGAAAGCTGATGTTTCATTTGAAACAGGTGCTTAGGTGGTAGTATTTGTGAATTCTTTACTTTTTGTTCCAAACAAGAAGACTAAATAAATAGCAAGTTTGAATGACTTAAGGGTTTTTTAAAAAAATGTCTTCCAGTTTCAGCCACTTCATGATAAGCACAGTTGAGACTGCAGCAGTAAATTTCAAATATGTATTTCTAACTTGAAATGAAAGATGCTAAAAAGTTACATTTATTTATATATCCAAATTCTGGCTCATTCTATGACACAGATTTACTGAATAAGAATAAGGTCCAATTTTGCAATTAAATCTTTGATGTGTTAAGCCAAAATACGAAATATAAAAGTTAGTTTCTTATGCAGACAAACCATCACAGTCTCTGTACAAATTAAGTTTTACTTATGTAAATCCACATTTTTGGATGAGAAGAGGAATTTTTCTCCTAGAGAAAGAAGGATTTTTCTCAGACATCTTTGGACATTTGGTATTTTAAAATGTTTTTTAAGACTTCTAAGGATGTATCAGTTGTGTAGTAGTTAACCCTATGAATGCATGCTTGGGTTTAGTGAAAAGAAAACAGTTTTGAGTACAGTGATGGAACCCTCTTTACCTTCCTAGGAGAAGAGACTGTACAAGTTGCTTCACTCAGTGGTATAGGTGTTTTTCAATTCAGGAGATGTGGTGGATCCAGTAGTATGATCTGCCTTTAAATTTGGATATAGAGGATTGAGGAGAAAAAGAATTTTCCATATAACTCCTTTCTCTCAAGAAAAAGGAAAAATTTGCAGCTCCATCTGACTTTACGGTGTTTTATATTATATAGTTCCATTTTTTGGTAAAAAGCATAAATTACTATTTCTTTGCCCCAAGATGGACAATTGAATGTTTGGTTATTGTTCTAGATTGGTGTAATGTTAGGCAAAAAAGACTGGGACTCAGGTACTTTACCCAGTTGAGACTGAACTTCCTCATTATAGAATGAACCTCAGAAGTAGTGTTCCCAAACTTGTGGTTGCATCATTGTAGATTCAGGGTGTGGAAAAGAAACTTCAAGCGAGAAAAATAGTTACAATAAGAAATATGAATTTTCCTTTTTTCTCTTAACAGTTATACAATATGTTGAACAGACTATTGTAGAAAGCTGTCCTTGCTTCCAAATCAATAGAAGACCATTGTATGTATTGTCAGGTCTATATATAAGAAGAGTGAACCTTTATTTATGAATCTTTATGAGTAGAGAATGAATTTTAAAACTTCTTAGATTAAATTAAGAACAGATAATGTTAGAACATCTCTGTGTTTTCTGGAATGTTTGCTCAGGGCCGTGCATTCTGTGACGCTGGGAACGTAGGACAGATTCACCAAATCTGAGATTGGTAAAAATGTTCAAAAGTGGATAATGTTGTGCACTCTTAATGATTAGTGATGTTGGTCAATTTGAATTGGGATAAAAAAAGATGTTTAGTAAAATAATTGCATAATGCATACAAAATATAATATAATTGAGGGCAATCACAGAGTGGTAAATCATAGTAGAAATAACTTTGATCAAAGGTAACTTAAATTTTTCTCTGTAATCTCTCCACTTACTGATGTTTTTCTTATTTTGGAATTGTTAAAGACAGAATGGAGCTTGTATATGCGGGTCTCACTGGTATGTTGAGAATGTCATATCATGGAGAATTTGTACCTTCTACTTGTCTGTTACTCATTTTCCCCATGTCCTTTTGGCAACTTCTTGGGTAGGATCATTTGGCAGGGAATAGGGTATCTCCTGTCAGCACCAGTGAAACCAGCTCTGGCCTACTTGTTTGAACAGGTATCAGACTCATCTTTTCCCTGATGTTTTGTATTTTTTTCATTTCGCAGTTCAGAGAACCAGTGTTTAATTATTACTTTCAAACTGTTTATCTTCCATGATTGACATCAGGTGTCATTTAACAAAATGGCTATATTCCAGTTGTAGTTGCCCAGTTTTTACTTAATACATCTACATTTTTTTCTTGTCTGTTTTGGTCCCCTTTTTTGATGACTAAAGCTCTAATTTTAGACAGGAGCATACCTTGGTTTGTAGCCATGCATCCTCCCTTTCCTTATCCATGTTAGCTGGTAGTTTTTCTTTCTAAAAGTTAAACAAAAACGGGATATGTGCAATAGAAATATATATATGTATATTTTAATACTTGTGGACAAATGTTACAAGTTGTTTAAGAACAACAAAATCACCAATGTCTTCCATTTTGAGACGTGTATAGTTTTGTAAGCATTAGTGCTTGGTAGCATATTGTAGTCCCATGTTAGGGGTTAGTGCATGAGCCTAGTAATAATTTTAAACTTCAGGAAGAATTATTGATAATAACAAATAGTGTAAAAAGAGTGGAAAGTCCAGGCCTTTTCTTTTTTCTGAATCTGTAATATTCTCCCTGGGGAAAGGAAATTAAGGCCCAGAAAGACTTGTGAATAGAAATGTGGGGTAGAAATCCGAGATGCTATGTTTGTGAGGATATTTCAGCTTTCCATGAGGTAGCTGGAAGCCAGCTGACTTTGTGTCTTATGAAACCTCAAGTCAGAATGAGACCCCATTTCATGATTCTGCTTTGCTTCTCTTAGTTTGATGTAATCTTATTCTTAAACTGGCTTTACATTCATGTCATAGGTTCACTATTTTTCTATTCCTGTGTCAAGAAATTATTTTACACTTTGCACGTCTTACTGAGATCTTATGTTAATTGCTTTAGTGAGTACTTTTCTAATCTGCAGACCATTTACACTTCCCTTTTGCAGCTTGCTGTGTATAAATAGTAATTTGGAGTTTCCAAATTATTTTTACAGGCTCTTCCTACTTCCAAATCTGCTGAATTGTGTATTTATGGGATTTCAGACTTCTTCATGAGAATTGGAAATGTAGCTGGCTAGTGCCTGTTTAGGTTGCTGTATAATAAGTAGACTCTTCCTTAGTTATAGTAAGCCTCAGACAACTTTCACTTTTTTCTACTTATGAAAATAAAAGTTTTGTTCTGAAAAGATAGCTTTCTGTAGAAAAGAATTCTTACCTCTAAAAGCTGCTGTGAGAACTTGGAAGTGGCAGTTTTCTGAAGTGATTTTTAAATCTCAGTATTAAGAGTCCAGAATTTGTTGACACAGATTCTACAGTTAGTATAAAAGGAAATGCAGAACCATTTTAATGTGGTGTATCTTGTGCATGCACAGGTTAGACTCTGGCAGCAGATCTCCAGGGACCCAGATTTAGATTCTTATAGTGTACTTAAAGTGGTTGTACTTCTGGTTCAAGTAGTTTAGTGCCTGGGCGAATCAATTTCTGAAAAGTATTTACATTATTGTTAAAAAATACCTCTGAAAAGGTACTGAATGCAAAATAGCACAGTATATAGGAAAGGATATTTCCTGTTGCAAAAAAAAGCCATAAAATAATTTCAAGAGGTAGGATTTTAATAGCAATAACAGTTTTGCATGTATAATAAATTGCATTAGCAAGGTTGTACAGTAGAATAAGTGATATTAGTTAAGTTTGTGGGGCTCTGTGATTCAAGAGTTGCACAAAAGGAAAAAATGTTCTAGATAAAGAGCATATAAAAGGTACTTTCTTTTAAAACAGCATGAATGTATATTAACTTATCTTTGTATGAGAAATACCAACTTTTGTGCATAAGTTAAAGGTTAAAGTCCTCATTTGTTTCCTAAATTAGAGGGTTAGAGCCGTTGAAATGAAACCTTTCTAGTGTTTAACCTGAAAGCAAATGTATTCCTGTAGCCCCACTGAAACCTTCATGTGGGTTCTTTTTAAAACCAGGCATTTATTTTGTAGAATGATATGCTTTTATGATTTGTCTTATTTTTTCCATGGGTTTTCTGGATACATTTTTTTTAAAGGAAGATAAAATTCTGTGTGTTTAGTATTGAAAAAACCCCCCAAGAACATGAATAGCTGGATTTTCCTCATGCTTATGTTGGAGAGTTAGGATTTAAAGGTAAAAAGCAAAAGGATTGAAGGGAATAGCCAGTGACTGTATGTTGGGGGGGATGTGTGTGTATGTGTGTGTTTTAAACCTTATCTAATGTAGATGTGGCCTGTGACCTGTGACTGCTTATTTTAACAAGGATGGCCCAGCAAACTTTCTTTCTTGATGTGAGGAATCACACAGCTCACATCAGGATATAATAGTGGAACTAGAGTGACTTCTATTCCCTTTCACCTCATGCCCATCTTGGCCATTTACTACCTTGAAGATCCCTGAAAAGACTGGGTCTACATTCCCTTGTCTTCCCAGGGAAAAAGCTAAAACATAAGTGGTGTAGATCTAAATAGTGCCTCTTGCATATTTAATTACATGGCAACTAATGGATAGAGAAAAGACTATATTAAGTTGATTATAGCTCCTCTTTAAATGTTCTGTGCTATCAGTTGATCTTTGAGACACTGAAACAACCAAGCAATATTTAGACATCTGCATGATCATGGGGACAGTGCTGCTTATTACAGTGATGTTAGCAGTTCAATTACTTGGAACAATTAAAGATTACCCTTAACAGCCATGTTATTCTAAATACTAAAATATGCTACAAGTTTTCATTGTCAAAAGTATGTGGTTACTTTTCAAAGTTAGTGTGATCTCACATTTACTCTTTATGTACCTGTGATATGCAAAATATGAAGAGATCTTTGACCTCCAGGCGTTTACATTTTCATGGTGCTGTTGGTGCAAGCATATTGCTTCTAGTTTATTATGAAAATTGCTTGGCTATTAATTATACCTTATCCAGAAGAATTCCTTGACAGTTTTTAAAAAGGAGAGGGCTATACTTTATTTCAGGGCATTGATGCTTGAGTTTACATTGTATTAGCTCTGCCTCTTTATCATCTTTTCCCTAGGGAGCTATGCTGATATTGTTCATTAATGTGAATCAGAAAAGAAACCATTCTGCCTAAGAGTATCTTCACCTTCCCCTACACCTACACTCTTCTCTGTCAAATGGCCAAGAAAATTTACAGCTCCTTAAGACTGTACATCTCTCAAGTCTTTCTTTTCCCAGAGCTTTTACATCATTCTTTATTCAAAAGGGCCAGGGTTTGCATATAAGACTTTTAAAACTGATTAGTGGTCCTAATTTTAACACTTATGTATGGCTTGTACCTGTGTTCTGAAGCAGCATTGTGATAGATGTGGAACATCTGCCTGCGTTTCTAAGCAACTACTAATCCAAATTTTTGGTTGAAACTTGCATGTATTGTTACTTCCCAGTATTCCTCTGAATCAGTGGGTTTACTTTGCATGTTTATTAAACTGGGTCAGGTTCAGAGGACAGGCAATAGTGGCAGGCTCATAATTGATTTTAGAGTATTAATACTCCAATGCATGAGTGAAAATGTCCAGTGTTGTGGTTACTAGTAATTTTATATATGCATTTAATTCATAATGAAGCAATAGAGACTCAAACCAATAGCTTGAATTTATTGTAGGATTATTTTCATTTTTAAAAGATTTTCTTACTTCCATTGAAAATGGGAAGTAAAAGATAAATAGGGGCAACCGCAAGACATTCATACTGTCAGAAAGGGCATAACAGTGCTCACCCATTACCTCTTGCCTGGTCTCATAAGTCCCCAAGCATGTTTGAAAACAAAAGGCACAAACTAAGCATGTTGAATAAATAAATAAGCTGTTTCAGCTATAATAATCAGAAAGGTGCAGAGTTTCAGAAAGAATAGGAAAGTAAGGAATGTCAGTATGCAGCATGTGGAAAAAAACTAAATAGGGGTTTGTTTATGATATGGTTTATGTAGACTATGGAGTCTCTTACTAGGGTTTTGGAATTGAATATAATCTGTGTGCACACATTTTAGATGTTTCAGAATTTTCAGGTAACTCGATAACTTGTGGATGGTACTGGTACTGAGCCATAAAGGACCCCTGCAGCAAGGGAAACTTCAATTTTGTAAAAATAGTCCTGAAAATATTGATACATCTGTGGTTTGGTTTCTCTTGTTATACACATTTAAAACCTTTTTTAGCCAAAGTTTTATCCCTGACTGGTACAATTTCTTGCCCAAAGCTTTTGTGATTGCAGGTTAAGTGGGAGAAAGTTTTTCCACTTGAAAAAACAAGAAAATCCTTGCCATTTATTTTATTTGATGAATAAACAGATCAATTAATTATAGTAGCTTACAATTTTCTTTGAGAAGATTCCTGATTTAAAATAACTCTTTTAAGCCGGGCTCGGTGGCTCAGCCTGTAATCCCGTGCCTTTGGGAGGCTGAGGTGAGTGGACTGCCTGAGCCTGTGGGTTCGAGACCCACCTGGGCAACTTGGCAAGACCTCATCTTTACAATAAATCAAAAAATTAGCCGGGCGTGGTAGCGCACACCTGTAGTTCCAGCTACTTGGAAGGCTGAGGCGGAAGGATCGCCGGAGCCCAGTAGGTCGAGGCTGCGGTGGCCAGGAGCGTGCCACTGCCCTCCAGCCTGGGCGACAGAGTGAGACTCCAACTCAAAAAAAAAAAACAAAACTCTTTTAACTACAAACTGATTTTGACAAATGGAATTCATATCTGAAAGAAGCCTAAATAGGAGATAATTCAGAATTAGACTAGATTTTCATTAGACTACTTCAAGGTTTCATGTTCTGTGATTTAAAAACTTTTAAAAAATTGTTTTAACTTCATATTCTTTACTTTGGAGCTTTCCTATAAATACCTTTGGAAATGAATTAAGTGCAACAGTAACTTTTCATTGGTTTACAATTGGTTAGACTTCCTGTCATTGGTTTCCACTCCAATATATGAAGTGAGATGTCATATTTCTTGTATATAAATGTTCTCTTTGCCATTTATTGATAGCATGTCTGCCTGTCAATAAAGGTTTAATGTCAGTTTCTGTAAACTCTGATTATTCTACTAAGGCATGTGAAAATAGTACTGGGAAGCCAAACATCGTAGATTTGTCTAGGAACCCATACTGCTGAACCTTTAAAGTCAGAATCAATACCTCATGGTTACTAACAATTTTCAGGTTTTGTCTTCTTTGGTGATATGTCATTCCATCAATTGAAATATATTTTTCTCCCAGTATGAAAGGTATTCTGGCAATACATTATCATTAACCCTTAAACAGTAATAGTTTGGCACTTATCTTAAAATCACCCATCTCTTATAATTAAAAAGATTAGTATTACATGTCCTTTCACATTATAGTTTACTTACTGCCTTGTAAGTACTGGAATTGCTCACTGTGTTTACTTGCTGTCCTGCATATTCTTCATTGCACCATTGATATATGTTATAATGTTAAGAGAATTTCATTGAATGTGTTTAAAAGTATTACAAAAGGCAGCTTGCTTTTAAGTCTATGCATCTTTGGTATTTCTGAAGAAGAAATGTAACTATTTGAGGTAAAAAAGGACTGTTAAAGAGTTGGAAACTCTGCACCTATGTGTATATATATTTTCAGCAATAAAGCAGCATGGGTTGAGAATGCACTGAAATTTCATTGTTGTTACTTGAAATGGGTAAACTAAATAAAGAATGCAGTAAATACTGATGCTGTGGGGGGGGGGTGGCATTAACAGTAGCAAATATCTGTGGGGATGGGGAAACACCTCTTCTCAACAGGGTGCCTGAATGAAACGTAATTGTACACCTAACCCTTAACTGTACCCCACAAAACTATAATAAAAAACATTGATTTAAAAGAAAGAAAGAGACTGGCAGTAGTGGGAAACTGCCAGGGGAGGGCAGGGGCAGGTGTGGCAGTCGTTGGAAACTATCAGGGAAGGGAGGGACACACTTATCAACAAGGGTACCTGCATAATGAATATTTGTACACTTAACCCTAAATTGTACTCCACATATTTAAAATAAAAAATTTACTCAAAAAAAAAAAATACTGTTGCTAGGAGGAACCTTTCCAAAGACTTGTACTGAAGTAGGCTCCAGACATCTAAGAAAAAAGGACCAGGTTTCTTGATACCTAGTTGTGACAGTCTGGTGTATGTTGTCCAATAGAGCATAACAGGCAGCCATCTGAAGAAAAAGGGGTATTTTATATTTATTTTTTGAGTTGGAGTCTCATTCTGTCACCGAGGCTGGAGTGCAGTGGCACGCTCACAGCCACTGCAACCTTGACCTACTGGGCTCAGGTGATCCTTCTGCCTCAGCCTTCTAAGTAGTTGGAACCACAGGCACGTGCCACAACACCTAGCTAATTTTTTTAATTTATTGTAGAGATGTCCGGCTATTTATTTTTTTGAGTTGGGGTTTCACTATCACCCAGGTTGGAGTGCAGTGGCACAATCACAGTTCACCGGTCTCAATCTCCTGAGCTCAAGTGATCCTTCCAGCTCAGCCTCCCGAGTAACTGAGAATACAGTTGTGTGCTAATATGCCCACCTAATTTTTTAAATTTTGAGTTGGAGTCACTCCATTGCCCAGGCTGGAGTACAGTGGCACGCTCACGGTCACCCCAGCATCGAAGGGCTGGGGATCATTGAAGGGCTCAGGTGATCCTTCCGCCTCAGTCTTTTTTTTTTTTTTTGAGTTGGAGTCCCACTCTGTCGCCCAGGCTGGAGTGCAGTGGCACGCTCCTGGCCACCACAGCCTCAACCTGCTGGGCTCCAGTGATTCTTCCTCCTCAGCCTTCCAAGTAGCTGGAACTACAGGCGCGTGCTACCACGACTGGCTATTTTTAAAAATTTATTATAGAGATGAGGTCTCGCCAAGTTGCCAAGGCAGGTTTCAAACCCACGGGCTCAGGCAATCCACTCACCTCAGCCTCCCAAAGCATGGGATTACAGGCTGAGCCACCGAGCCCGGCTTCGCCTCAGTCTTCTAAGTAGCCGGAACTACAGGTGCATGCTACCACACCCGGCTAATTTTTTGATTTATTGTAGAGATGAGGACTCACCAAGTTGCCCAGGCTGTTCTCAAACACATAGGCTCAGGCAGTCCCCTTACCTTGGCCTCCCAAATTGCTGGGATTACAGGCTTAAGCCACCGTTCCCCGCCACCCGCCTTTTTAAAAATTGCTTTGTAGGCTGGGCAAGGTGGCTCGTGCTTGTAATTCCAGCACTTTGGGAGACAGAGGCGAGGGGAATGCCCGAGTCCAGGGGTTTGAGACCAGCCTGGACAACTTGGCAAGACCTTGTCTCTACAATAAATAAAAAAATTAGCTGGGCATGGTGGTGCAAGCTGGTAGTTCCAGCTACCTGGAAGGATGAGGCAGAGGGATCGCCTGAACCCAGCAGGCTGAGGCTGTGGTGGCTGTGAGCATGCCACTGCACTCCAGACTGAGTACAGAGTGAGACTCTGACTAAAAAAAAATAAAGTAAAATTTTTTTGTAGAGATGAAGTCTTGCTATGTTGCCCAGGCTGCTCGCAAACTCCTGGGCATTCTTCCATTTTGGCCTCCCAAAGTGCTGGGTTTACAGGTATGAGCCACTGCGCCCAGCTTGAGGTTTTATTTAATGAACATTTATTCATATACTTCATGTCCCAGTACCATGCTAGATGTTGGGATTACAAAAATGGTGACAGTTTGTCATTTACTAAACAGCTCAAAAGCTTACTTCAATATGCAATGTTGTTTATCCTTACAGCCATTTGGAGTATTGAAATAGGTTTTTTTGAACACATATACAATTGCCATCATACTTATACATGTGTATTCATATACATGAAGGTTAATAGCTAATATTTGATTTATTGTGGAGAATAGGTTAATAGGTTACTATGTGCTAAGTACTGCTCTAATTACATTAGATGTACATTAACTCATTTAATTCTCACTACAACTTGTTACAGTTTTTATTCCTATTTTATATAGAAGGAAATAAAAATAGGTTAATTCTTCAAGTTCATGGCTAATAAGCACTCCTGCCAGTTTGAAACCAAACCATTTGTTCCAGAGCCTGCTCACTTATCAGAATGTTAAATTGTGCCTTTGAAAAAAAGTGGAAGAAGTGTAATTGTACTTTGTATTTTGTTACACATCTACATCTGAGTTTCTTCAAGAGTGAGCATGTAATTAGAAAAAAAATCTACTTAAAGTCAGCCAGCTTAATTTGATGTTAGGTTCAAGCATATAATTTTCTATTGAAAGTAGGCCAGGCACAGTGGCTCAAGCCTGTAATCCCAGCACTTTGGGAGGCCGAGGCAAGAGGATTGCTTGAGTCCAGGGGTTCGAGATCAGCCTGGGCAACTTGGTGAGAACTCATCTCTTCAATAAACCAAAAAAGTAGCCGGGCGTGGTGGTACGTGCCTATAGTTCTGCTACTTGGAAGGCTGAGGTGGAAGGATCGCTTGAACCCAGCAGGTCAAGGCTGCAGTGGCCAAGAGCAGTGTGCCACTGCACTCCAGCCTGGGCAAAAGAGTGAGACACTGACTCAAAAAAAAACACACAACCAAAATGGAAAATCCCAAAGTTAAGAATAATAATAGCTACAGGTCAGGTGTAGTGGCTCACGCCTATAATCCCAGCACTTTGGGAGGCCAAAGTGAGGGAACTGCCTGAGCCCGTAGGTTTGAGACCAGCCTGGGCAACTTGGCAAGACCTCATCTCTACAATAAATCAAATTAACCCGGCACAGTAGCATGTGCCTGTAGTTTCAGCTACTTGGAAGGCTGAGGTGGAAGGATCACCTGAGTCCAGCAGGTCGAGGCTGCAGTGGCCGGGACCGGGTGATAGAATGAGACGCCAACTCAAAATAATAATAGCAGCTACATAAAGAACAGCTTTTAGCCAGGCGCAGTGGCTCATGCCTGTAATTCCAGCACTTTGGGAGGTGAAGGTGAGAGGACTGCCTGGGCCCAGGGGTTCAAGACAAGTCTGGGCAACTTGGTGAGACCTGTCTCTACAATAAATCAACAGGGTTGTGCACGCCTTTGGTTCCAGCTACTTGAAAAGCTGAGGTGTAAGGCTCGCTTGAGCCCAGCAATTGCAATAGCTGTGAATGTGCCACTGTACTCCAGCCTGGGCAAGAGTGAGACTCTGACAAAAAAACAAACAAAAAACCCCCCCAGCTTTTAAACTTAGATAAAGAAAGGAAATATGCTACAGTGGGCATACCCATATATAGTAAAAATCCCAGGATGACTCAATGTTGTATTAATTTATTAGGTCTCATTCTTTTCTTTTTTTTTGAGTTGGAGTCTCACTCTGCCACCCAGACTAGAGAGCAGTGGTATGCTCATGGCCGTTACAGCCTCAACTTGCTGGGCTCAGGTGATCCTTCTGCCTCAGCCTTCCAAGTAGCTGGAATTACAGGCACGTGCCACCATGCCCAACTCATTTTTTGATGTATTGTAGAGATGGTCTTGCCAAATTGCCCAGGCTGGTCTCGAACCCGTGGATTCAGGCATTCCTTTCACCTCGGCCTCTCAAAGTGCTGGGATTATATAGGCGTGAGCCACCATGCCCAGCTTTGTTTAAAATGTTTTTAAAGGAAAATGTCTTATAAACAGTATAAATGTAAAGAATCTGCTACTTTAAAAATTCTAGCTACATCTCAAGTTAGCTTCTCTACAACCAATTGGATATATAATTTCTTGATTGCACTAGTGCCATAGCCCCTCCTCAGTGGTCTGCTTGCTGCTCTTCCCATGCATTGTCCACACAACCACCATGAGGTTCTAAAATTTTTTTTTTTTTGGAGTCGGGGTCTCACTCTCATCCAGGCTGGAGTGCAGTGGCAAGCTCATAGCCACCACTGCCTCAACCTGCTGGCCCCAGGCCATCCTCCTGCTTCAGCCTACTGAGTAGCTGGGACTACAGGTACATACCACAACGCCTGGCTAATTTTGAAATTTTTTTGTAGAGGTGAGGTCTCACTATGTTGCCTAGACTTTTTTCAAACTCCTAGGCTCATGCAGTTCTCCCCATCTTGGCCTCCCAAAGTGCTGGAATTACAGGCATGAGCCACCAGGCCCAACCCATGAGGTTTTAAAAAATAGTAAATTTGATCCTGTCTCATACCTTCCCCTTCAAAATTCTTCAAGGGCGTCTCATTGTTCTTGGGATAAAAACAAACATCCTTTGGGAGACTAGTAAGGCCTAGCAACCCTTGTAGGCAGGCATTTTAAGAGCCTCAAAAGACCTCTTAGTGCTTTTGCATATGCTATCCCCTCCATCACCTTATGAATTCCTACTCATCTTTCTGACTGCTGCTGAAACTTCACTTCTGCACAGAAGCTTTCCCTGAACCCCAGACCAGGTCAGTTGCCTTATGTGCTTGTAGCCCTATGTCCCTTCAAAACCCTTACTTGGCTGTAATTTTACATGTCTTTATGTGATTATTTAAATGTCCATTTCTGACTAAACTCTGTGGCTGTTTTTGCTTGCCTTATGTCCCAAGCACCTAGCATAATACCTTATAAATATTTATTAAATGAATATTTTAATAAGGTACTCAGCCAAAGTGCTACAAAAAGCGAAATTAGAGAAAACAGTACTTCGATAAATGTTTGATGTTTTATCATTCCTTTCATAATTACCTCATTAGCTCAGTTTACAAATGCAAAGAGAAAATCTCATATTATTCAGTCAATTTATTATTACCTATAGAATATTATATATCTATATTTTACATAAGAAAAAAATGATCAGTATTCATAACAGATGCTCCATGCAGGAATACTATTAACAGTACCCAACATTAAGCCCAAAACATTTTCAGACCAACCATGTAACAGTGACTCCTAATTCTTAAATTTACAGTCAAAGATGTTTTCAGAGATAACCTTTATGAAATCATAAGAAGCAAAAAAAGTTCTTAAGGCAAATAGTTTTAAAACCTGAACAGAAGACTCATTTAAAGACAGCTTCACAAATCATTTAGAAATATAGAGGTAAACATAAACCACATTTGACCCCATTCTTGAAGTCAGTCTTTTTAAAGAAAGGACCAAACAGTACTTGCTGAAGGTAACAATCAAGTCTGAACTGACACTCAGGCCTTGCTTGGTTCTGGGTCAGTTTCCTGGAGTCGCTTCATTCAATATCTTCATTAGTGAATCTAAGCGAGTATGCATTAGCACTATCTTCTCTTTCAGCTGGGAAGAAAAATATATAGATATCAGGGCATCTTTTTAATTTTTTTAGAAGTGGGGTTTCACTTTGTTGCCCAGACTGGAGTGCAGAGGTGCGATCACAGCTCACTGCAGCCTCAGACTCCTGGGTTCAAGCAGTATTCCCTCTTCAGTCTCCAGAGTAGCCAGGACTATAGGCACATGTTTTTCTTATATTTGGTAGAGACAGGATCTTGCTGTGTTGCTCAGGCTGGTCTTGAACTCCTAGCCTCCAGTGATCCTCCTTCCTCGGCCTTTTTTTTTTAAGTTTTAAAACAAAGTTTATTAGGGAAAGAAGAGAGGAAAGAAAGGGCGACATGCCAGAGCTGGCATGGGCAAGAGACCGCCCAGTCTCAGCCTTTCAAAGCACTCGGATTACAGGTATGAGCCACCATTCCTGGCCAGATTATCAGGGCTTAACTCTTCAATGGTTTTAAAGTCATTTCAAATTTAAGCTAGTTTATCTCTAGTGAGTGGAAGCTGGCAACAATTCAACACATTTCAAGAATATATTTGTTCTAATTCTGCAAAAACTTTATACAACAAACCAAGTGCACAATAAGATCCTCAGGTGAGCCAGGCTTGGTGGCTCAGCCTGTAATCCCGTGCCTTTGGGAGGCTGAGGTGAGTGGATTGCCTGAGCCCGTGGGTTCGAGACTCGCCTAGGCAGTGAGACCTCATCTCTACAATAAATCAAAAAATCAGCCGGGCGTGGTAGCCCATGGCTGTAATTCTGGCTACTTGGAAGGCTGAGGTGGAAGGATCGCCGGAGCCCAGCAGGTCGAGGCTGCGGTGGCCGGGAGCGGCCACTGCACTCCAGTCTGGGCAACAGAGTGAGACTCCAACTCAAAAAAAAATAAAAATAAAAATAAAAATATCCTCAGGTGTAATGTTTCATGAGCCAATTGCTGAGCACCATGGCTTTCATGAAGACCAGAATAAAGAGAATAAAGTAGGGTCAGAGAGTTTTGTGGAGGCAGAAGCATCAATTAGTCTTCTCCTCCTTTTCCAGTGACAAGAATTTAACTTTTCTTTTAACCCCTTGTTAACAATAACAAATGCCTTTCTGACTTTAATATTCTACTTATGGTCTGCAAAAGTAGCTCTGGTTATTAGGTTTAAAACAGATGTTTGTTGCAATTAGATAATTTTCAATTCAAGAGTTCTTTCACCTTAGAAGAGCTAAATTTAGAACCAAATTCAGTGGTGTTACTCAGTGGGCAGCGGCAGTGACTTCTGGTCATCTTAGCTTGCCCCTCTCAGCGTGGAACTTCGAGTGTACAAGCAAGCTGGGCAAGGGTGACTTGGTTCCAAACATTCTTGGTCTACTGTGCCTGCAGTAGAACAAATATACTACAGATGGCTATTCTTGCCTGGAATAGAGCTTCAGCAACACAGAGTTGGGAGGGGGATAAGAAATGCTGGTGGGAAGATACCACAGCCCTCCTGGGGGAAAGGATTCCTGTGTTGTTGGCTGCATCTGCCCAGATGGAGCCTCCTTCCCTCAAAGCTGAGGCTGGGCCATGGGAAGGAGAGAGCAGGCTATAGCTCAAATGCTATAGGCTTCACTGTTCTTACTAAGGTTTAGGAGATTTTCTTGGCTATTTGTTTCCCTATTTGCTGTATGCCTTAAGGAAAATTTCCACAGACGTAAGATGGTTTTCTTTATAATTTTCTTCCTGGATCCTGTCCATGGAATTTCTGAAGCCACATTCCATACCAATTATTTTTAAGCACAAAATTTACTGATCCACTCATGAACTCAGTTGTTTAGAGTAGGGATTGGTAAGTTATGGACCACAGGCTAGCCTGATGCCCATTTTTGTACATTTTTAGTGTAACACAGCCATGACCATTTGTTTACGTATTATCTATAGCTATTTTTGCACTATGATGGCAAAGTGGGGTAGTTGAGACTGTATGGTCACAAAGCTTAATTTGTCATCTGACCCGTTACAAAAAATGTTTGCCAATCCCTTCCTTAGAATGTTAGCTAACTTTGCAAAAAACCAGAAATCACTATTCTTCTGCTTTAATGTTACTCCTAGTATTAAACTTTTAAAAATAAATTTTGCCAGGCACAGTGGCTCACACCTATAATCCCAGCACTTTGGGAGGCTGAGGTGAGAGGATTGCCTGAGCCCAGTAGGTTGAGGCCGCGGTGGCTGCGAGCGTGCCACTGCCCTCCAGCCTGGGCGACAGAGTGAGACTCCAACTCAAAAACAATCAAACAAACAAAAACCAAAATAATGTTACTCTTAATATTAAACTTTGAAAAATAAATGTCACTGGGCATGGTGGCTCACTCCTATAATTTCAGCACTGTGGGAGGCTGAGGTGAGAGGACTGTCTGAGCCCACGGGTTCGAGACCAGCCTGGGCAACTTGGCGAGACCTCATCTCTACAATAAATTAAAAAATTAGCTGGGCATGGTGGCACGTGCCTATAGTTACAGCTACTTGGAAGTTGAGGCCGAAAGATTGCCTGAACACAGCAGGTCGAGTCTGCGGTGGCCGTGAGCATGCCACTGCACTCTAACCTGGGCGACAGAGTGACATTCCAACTCAAAAAAAAAAAAGAAAAAGAAATGTCATTAGTTACTAATTGTGTAATAGCAGGGACTAAACCATTAACAAAACCAACAGTAAATCTAAGGTTGTTCTTCTAAGTAATAGCCAAATTTTCATTCAGAATGAAGCTGCAAGCTACCAAAAAAGTTACATTCTTCAACACAAAGCCACAAGCCACTTATAACCCATTTATATAAGAAATCTTAATAATTGCTTTGTCACTCTTTCGTATACTTAAGATACTTAAGGAATTAAAGGTGTTTGCAAAGAGGATACCTCTATGCAAGATGGTGTCCACTCCTAGCACAAGGGAGAATACAGCAATGGAACAGTTGAGCAGCTTTCCTCCTCTTCCTGAGCTAGACCTTAATATATGGCTTTAGTATTTTGCTTTGTGTCACAAATGCAATAAGGAAGGCTAAGCCAAGTATAAAGGATTATTGAGTATCATGGCATTCCACCATCTCCAAGTTCACTGGTACGAATTACCAAGAGCTGGCCAGGCGCGGTTCTCATGCTATAATCCAAGCACTTCAGGGGGTGGAGGCGAGAGGATTGCCTGAGTCCAGAGGTTTGAGACCAGCCTGGGCAACTTGGTGAGACCTCATCTCTGCAATAAATCAAAAACTTAGCTGGGCTGGTGGCGCACACTTATAGTTCCAGCTACTTGGAAGACTGAGATGGAAGGATCACCTGAGTCCAGCAGGTCGAAGCTGCGGTGGTCATGAGCATGCCACTGCACTCCAGCTTGGATGACAGAGTGAAACTCCAACTCAAAAAAAAAGAGTTGTCTATGTTAAAGAAACCACACAACCATCATGCAATTTTACCTCTGCAATCTTTTCCGGTAGAGGCACATTGTGAATATCCATCTCAGATGCGTTTACTATGGCTTTTGTTTTTAAGAGATAGCTAGATGGAAAACAGAGGAAATATTAGTATCTTACCACAGTTAAGATTATAAATTAGCCAGGCTCGGTGGCTCAGCCTGTAATCCTGCGCCTTTGGGAGGCTGAAGTGAGTGGATTGCCTGAGCCCGTGGGTTTTGAGAC